AAACCTGATTCACATAAAGGGAAAATAGGTTCAATATGTGAAAATAAATATATTCAAATAGAAAACGGTTATTTTAAATTGTAGTAATATTTCACAATAATGATGTTTTTTCTGTATTTTTGATCAAATAAATGCAGGCTTGGTGAGCAGAAGAGCCTTCTTTCAAAAAATTCAAAAATCTTGCAGACCATTCTATAGTATATTGTTCATTTTCGGAGCTTGAAAACCTCATTTGCCTTTGGAAAATATCTTAAAATTGTTTGCAGAATTGCTTCTTGAATAAATAAATTTTATTTTAAGGATATTTTTACCGACAAATAAGTCAAAAATACTCATTAAGATTTTTTTGCATTGCACAAACCTGATTCACATAAAGGGAAAATGTATTCAAATATGTGTAAATTGCAAAAAAAAAAATAATAATTTTAGTTTTAAAACATTTTCAGTTTCAGCATGCACTAACAATTTACCCGCTGCTGGAAAGTGTTGTGTTGCTGCTGACACAGATCATCATGAATTCAGCTTCCTGTATTTGGTATGCAGGCGATATGCCTTTGTTATAATGTGGTCAATTTGTTCTCACTTGGAAGCCCCTCGCGGTGTTGATGACCTTTCCCGGCTCCTCTATGAGACCGCATGTGGAGAGAGCTGTGCCACGCTTCAGTAAAGCCACACCACTGGACTCTCTTACCCTCTTATTAGTGATGCACTCATACTAACTCTAAAAACACACCTCTCACGTTTTCACAAGGAAATGCATGAAGTGATTAAATGTATACCTTGAATGCAATGAAAAGTCGCTTTGGATAAAAGCATCTTCTAAATGCATAAATGTAAGATATTTACAGCCGTTAAAGGACTTCTTGCATGTTCAGGATCAGATGCTTGCGTTTTATGACTGGTGCTTTTTAATGAGGTGACGTGTGATTGGGTCGCTGGCAGTCAGTGAGGACTGCGCTTATGTTCAAAATAACATATTACTATAATACTTACTATATTTGTAGTATGCATGCTGTGCACATCTTCTGTATGCATTGAAAACCCAGATGCACATTTGCCCACATGTCAAAGAAATACAGGAAAAAGTTAATTGCAATAACATATTTAATAGAAAACAAGGTTTCAATAATGTTTCAGCTGTTTTTGATGTCAGACTAAAGTTATTAATAAGATTATATTGGTCATTTTTATGATCAAATATTTTTAATTTTATTTGTATTTATTTAGTATGAAGTTTATTTATTATAATTTAATTTCGTATTAATGTATTGGTACAATTAATAATTCAATTAATATAGATCAATCAGTCAAATTTATTAATAAAATGATATTGATCAAATATTATTCAGTATTTATTTAGTATTCATTTAATTTATATATTCTAATTTTATTTAATAATAATGTATTGGTCCAATTAATAATTCAATTAATATAAATCAGTCAGTTAATCAGTTAATAAAGTTGTATTGATCATTTGTATCATATTAGTCAGTATTCGTTTAGTATTAGTTTAGGTTAAAGTTATTAATAAGATTATATTGAACATTTTTATTATCAAATATTTTGAGTATTTAGTATTACTTTTGTTTATTTGTTTAGTTTAATTTACTTTAATTTATTATTAATGTACTGACCTAATTAGTAATTTAACGAATATAAATGAATTTATAAAATGAGATATGATAATTATGATCAAATATTAGTCAGTATTTGAATTAAATTATGAATTAATGAATCAACCAATAACATTAAGTAATAATAATATGAATAATTGTAGTTTTAGTCATAGTTTTTATTTGCATGTTCATTCATTTTATTATTTTGTTTTTGTATAATTTATTATTATTATTATATTGCTTGTTTCTTTGTAAAGCAGCTTGAGGAGCTGCATTTAAAAATGCAATATAGAATAAAATGTATTATTATTATTGCTATTATTATTATTATTATTATTGATGCTTGCAATAATTATGAGACTGTGTGTTGCCTAATTATCCATGACTTTTTGCACAAATGTGCTTGATTTTATTTCATAATTTCTCAGCATTGATAAGAATGTCATGGTAGATAAAGTAATGCTCAATGTTGCATGCACTCTCCTGCTGTTCAAGATCAGACACACTGATGTCAGGCTGTCAGACAGTCCTCACCTGATGTTGCTCTCCTGACTCTCTCTGATCCGCGGTTTGTACGTTAAGCTGAAATCTGAACTCTGCTGTAGTCACACTCCTCTGGATCTGCAGCAGCTGGCGTGTCTGTCTGTTTCTCTCGCTGCAGGAGCGTTCAGGATGTTGAGAAGCCTCCGATCTCGTCCTGCAGTAAAGGAGGCTCGTCCCAACACTACCGCAGCTCACCCAGTAACCAGTCGTCCTCCAGCGACCCGGGACCCTGCGCAAGCACCAGCTGGAGCCAGCAGCCGGGATACGACGGGTAACACACACTCACAGAGAATTATTCCATAACACATATATATATAATTAATAAGATTATATTGATAATTTTTATTATCAAATATTATTGTAGTATTTAGTCATATTTTAGTTTATTTATTATAGTTTAATTTAGTATTAATGAAAATGAATCCAATGAAAAGCTCAATTAATATAAATCAGTAAATTAGTAAAATTATATTGATCATTTTTATCAAATATTATTCAGTATTTTAGTTTATTCTAGTTTAATGTAGCATTCATGTATTGGTTCAATTAATATACATTAATAAATCAAACAAAAACATTTACAGCATTATATTGATAATTCTTTTGATCTTTTTTTTTAAATAAAATTTATTTCGTTTTAATTCAGTTTGTTATCATTTAATTTAGAATTAATGTATTGGTCCAATTAATAATTATATTAATATAAATCAATCAATGAATCAGTTAATAATGTATTGGTTCAATTAATTTAAATTAATAAATCAAACAAAAACATTTATAGCGTTATATTGCTAATTATTTTCCATTTTTTTAAATAAAATTTATTTTGTTTTAATTCAGTTTATTATCATTTAATTTAGAATTCATGTATTGGTCCAATTAATATTTATATTAATATAAATCAATCAATGAATCAGTTAATAAAATTGTATTGATATTTTTTTTATCAAATATTAGTCAGTATTAGTTTAGTGTTAATTTAGTTTATATATTATAGTTTAATTTAGTACTAATGTATTGGTCTAATTAATATTTAAATTAATGTAAATCATCCAATAAATCAATTAATAGCAATATATTAATAATTGTATTATTTCATATATATATATATAATTATTATTTAATATTAATTTAGTATAGATTTCATTTATTTAATATAGTTTAATTTGGTATTATAGTATTAATAAAAACATTTATTAATTTATACGTGTTTATAATATAAATATGTATACATATTTTATTTAATCTTATAATAAACTTGGGTTTATCGTATTGTCCATCTGACTTAGGTTAATTTGGGTTTTAGAAATTAATTCATAAGTATCCTTATCAATGTTCAGGCAAAGTAACTGGTAATTTACTAATTTAGTAAAAGTGATTAGTACTCAATTTAAAGTCAGCCATAAAGACTTTTAGACAGCGCACTTTTAGCAAATTTCACATGTCTCGTACAGCATTGACAAAAGCCTCCTTCACACATTTTATTACCAGACTTTGTTGAACTTTTTTTATTAATATCCAATGTTTCTCAACTCCCATAATCAAGACTGACAGTTGTTTAGGATCAGTAAAGAAATGAGCTGTTGCTGTCATTTTGGCCGTTCCCATGAGTCTGAACTCTTCCGCAGGTGTCAGTCTCCTGTGCTCCACGAGCGCTCGGCTGAAGCCCAGGGCATGCTGGGAGACGGGGAGATGCTGAGGGAGAGAGAGCCGACTCTCGAGAGGACACGCTCTGCAGGTGCCATTCACACATTTACACTGATCATTCTCACAAGTGAAGGTCAGGAAGACATTAGCTACTGGACTGAAAAGATACTGGAGATTATTATACGGGAACTTGGGGATGGGCGATTTTTTCCGATTTTATCGATGAATTCGAATTTAATGTTTTGCCACGATTTTTTTTTTTTTTACAATTTTGAATTGAATTATTACCAAACATTAGAATTAGACACTTAGACAATATGCCAATGATAACAGGAAAGAGAAAACAATGATCGCGTGTGACGCGCTCTGTGAAGTATACCATCAGTAGAATATAGAACTAGCTGCCATTCACACAGAATGCGCTTTTGTGTTGACAAAGATGCGACACGGGCAGTGGAATAGGAAAAAATGCAGGAAGATGGGAGTTGAAGTTCTTTTAACTTGAGCGCCACATTTTTAGAAAGCGTTTCATGCATAGTGAGCGCAACAGTCAAACGTGTCCATGTTTACATAGTTCTGATTAACCGCTCACGTGTGACACGCTCTGTGAAGGACTATAAGTAGAATATATCACTAGGTGCCATTCAGACAGAATGCACTTCTGTGTTTACAAAGATGTGCCGCGGGCAGTGGAATAGGAAAAAATGCAGGAAGATGGGAGTTGAAGTTCTTTTAACTTGAGCGCCACATTTTTAGAAAGCCGTTTCATGCATAGTGAGCGCAACAGTCAAACGTGTCCATGTTTACATAGAAAAAACTATGGAAAAGCAGCGCAATCAAATAAAAACCTGTAAAGAACTAATAGTGTATGTCTGATATTTCATCTTTGCATCATGGTGACTGTTCATTGTTTTTACAGAACATTTATTGTTAATTATAGTCTACTGGTGTTATACCTTCAGTCATTTTGAATTTGAATTACCGTGACTTTTGAGAATTTTTTTAAAGCATTTTCCTTGTATTATTTCTGAACATATAATATGTATAAGACAAGTTTGTAGAAGATGTAGTTGTAGTTCATGCATCTTTTCCGCAAAGATATTTAACAAGTGATTTGTTTAGCATTTACATCATGTTGACAACTTCATGTGTGGTGCACTTAAAATAGAATTTTCTTTAATTTGAGGGTTAATAAAGAAAAAGTTACTTTAATCATGTTTTAGTTACATTTTCAAGTTGACTAGTTAAAAATCGCAAAAATTAAGAATCGGTCAAGCGTTCTGAAAAAAATCGAGATTTTGTTTTTTTGCCATATCGGCCAGCCCTACGGTAACTTTTCAGAAAAAAAGCCTGCTGAGAAAAAAAACCCGATTAATCTGGGTAAAACTGCATTTGAAAACTCAACACTCAATTAACCATCTTCCCAAACTTCCCAAATGAGAAGCGTTCATAAGCTGTTGTCAGCAAAAGAGAAGTTTGGCGGCTTTCTACCAAAATACAATTTTATATCGCAAATGCAATTTTTAACAGAAAAATCACAATTAAATTTTTTCATTCAGCCCTAGTTATTGTAGTCAGTCTGGTTTCTAGAATACTCTAGTTGATTAGTAGTTGGTCCAAGGTTGTCTACCAGCCCTAAGACTAATCATCTAGACCAGTTTGGACCAGCTAGAAACCATGTTAGACCGTGTCTATGCTCTTGTGTTTGCTGCAGTCAGTCTGTTTTCTTCACAGAGGCGAAGTGGCACGTCCCTTCCACCAAGATCCTCAACTCCTTGAAGGAAAGAGGCAAGGATTCGCCAAACAAGTCGACGCGGGTAAGACTATTCCCACTCAACGCTCCTGTAGAGTAGAAGTGATGCCAAGAACCGTACATAAGCCCAACCATTAAATACCATTAAAACAGTGAACCTTTATAACTCCAAGGCCCTGCAGTGTCCACTACAATAATCCAAACCCTCCTCCATGTTCTCTAATAGTTTCCTCTGGTACATCTGCTGTAATGATAAAGCTCTGTTTTCAAAACCTTTTTTTTAAATTTTTTTATAGAAACTAGGAGTTTCCATAGATTAACATGGGCAACTAAAATAATTAATTCAAATTAACTATTGGAAATGTAAATTTTGGATGAGAATTTTTAAATAATATTTCGCTCAGAATCACTTATTATAGTTAACTAAACCTTTAACCAAAACAATAAAATGAAAGTAAAATATTTAAAAAATAATCTGTTTTTATATCAACTATTTGCCAAGGCAACAATTTTTCATTTAGTTTAACTTGAAGAATTAATTCAATAATAATAATTTATATAATGTTTTTTCTGGATTTTTTGGTTGGTATTGTGTCTCTATCCATTAAAATAAACCTACCATAAAAATTACAGACCCTTCATTTCTTTGTAAGTGGGTAAACTTACAAAATCAGCAGGGGATCAAATAAATATTTTTCCCACTGTAAAAAATAGCTAATAAAAAAAGACTGACAACAAAATTTCTAAGACTTTAAGAAAAAAATTTAAACGAAAATCAGGAAATGCAACAATAAAAAATAAATATTCAAACAATTAGAAAACATTATCATAATTATATTCTATATACAAAATGCCCATGCCCATAAGATTTTATATCCATATATCCAGGTTTTCCAAGGCTGAGGGAAGAAAAAAATGTGTAATTCACCTAAAAAAAATTTTTTGTTTTAGCTTATTTTATTGCTTGTTTTGTATTATATAAATCATTGGTTGAGGACCACTGCCTTAAAATCAATATGAAATAATAGGTTGATAAGAATCTTACTGAAGCCATAAATCTAACCCTTAAAATCGTATTGCTTGATAGTAATTTTGAACCAAGGATGTTGATTCAGGAACATGTCCTACTTGCCAAAATCATGCTAGTCCTACACACAGCCGTATAGGAGCTTATGAGGTCTGGTTCATTTAAAGGACAGAAGAGCGCTGACAAAATGTGCTTTATGTATAATTCATTTGGTTTGTGGCTAGCCATCAGGAGGCATTTGTTTATATATGCAACTGTATGTTTATAAATGCTGGACGAATTCATAATATGGGAATTCCCTTCAGTGTCAGAATGTGTTTTATGTGGTGAGCCGGATTTACACTTCACATATGAACCATATAATCACGTTGCATAAGTGGAAACATGGGCTTCCTCTGCTTGGGAAACTTCTTCGACTCGACTTTAGGGTGTTACTGCATACGCTGAAGCTTGATATGACAAACACGCAGACGGAGGCGCATGAGGCCTGTAGTTGCTGCTGTCAGTGTGCATGTGCATCAGTGTGATGAATGAATGCCGATAAGGTCAGTCTGCCCTTGGTGCTGTTATCAGGGACACGCTCACGTTCGTCTGTCTCTCACCTTGGATGTGAGTTTTATCCAATATCTCACAATGCCTGTTCCTATAATAGCATCTGACCACCGGCGTCCAGCTGAAAGTAAATTATGATCGTTTAGTGCAGGACGGCGGGGTCTAGAAACAACAGGCTCCTGTAGTACATATATAGTGTATAAGCTGTCTTCCAAAACCTAGTAAGCTGCCTTGCTGAAATGATCTTCATACTATAAGTGACTGAATTGTAATCTACATATGCAGCATCTCCGCTAATGAGTCTGGCTTTAGTTAATAGTGAGAAGCATAAAATTGACCTAGTGCACCTTAATGTTGAGTAAAATATCTATACTTTTCGGTATTGAATGAAAAACTGTAATAAAATAATACTATATATACAGTGTATATATATATATATATATTCAGTATCTTAAAGTCTCATAATAAGCATAAAAATGACTAGTGCACAAATATTGAGTGAAATCATTTTTAATAACATTTTTCACTTTTACGTATTGAATGAATAATAATACTGTAAGAAAAATAAATATATAAATAAAATCATATATATAATATAAAATATAATATAATAATAATATATATATCATAAACTTATGTATAATAATACAATTATTTTTGGGTCATCGGTCATCAAAGCTCTGTAAATACTATCACAGACGCGGAGATGTACCTTTAATTTCAACAAGCTGATTCCTCACAAAAAAAAAAAACATATCATGTTTTCAGGCCATTTGAAGTTTGATTTTGACGTGACAAAGTGGTGATATATAAGTGTGTGTATTGCTTACTTACAATTTAATGAGTCTTCCCATTAATGCCATAATTTTGTTTATTCAGACTGATTCGCGAACGCAGAATGCGCACAAACACAAGAGGCGAGATTTATCGCATGAACCAACCATAGCCGATCATAACCATATCCAGTCATGTCGCGATGGAGGCATTGCCTCCTGTCACGTGACTTTCCCCCATTCATTCTCAATTACCCCCCACCAAACTCACCGCACGCTTTAGTTGGTCTGTTAAAACTCAATGGGTTCAGGGGAGGCGAGAGAGACGCGGACTTCCGCTGTTACTTTACCTTATAGTATGTATGTATGTAGTAGTATTATTTTATTATTTTTTATTTAAGATTATTAATATAATTTTGATTTAGATTTTTTTATCTATACTTTCAGTATTGAATGATATATTGTAATAAAATGAATATATAAATAAATGTATAAAATAAGTCAATATATAAATATATTTATTTATTTATTTGTATGTTTATTTTTATTACAGTCATATATATATATATATATTCAGTATCTTAAAGTCTCATAATAAGCATAAAAATGACTAGTGCACAAATATTGAGTGAAATCATTTTTAATAACATTTTTCACTTTTACGTATTGAATGAATAATAATACTGTAAGAAAAATAAATATATAAATAAAATCATATATATAATATAAAATATAATATAATAATAATATATATATCATAAACTTATGTATAATAATACAATTATTTTTGGGTCATCGGTCATCAAAGCTCTGTAAATACTATCACAGACGCGGAGATGTACCTTTAATTTCAACAAGCTGATTCCTCACAAAAAAAAAAAACATATCATGTTTTCAGGCCATTTGAAGTTTGATTTTGACGTGACAAAGTGGTGATATATAAGTGTGTGTATTGCTTACTTACAATTTAATGAGTCTTCCCATTAATGCCATAATTTTGTTTATTCAGACTGATTCGCGAACGCAGAATGCGCACAAACACAAGAGGCGAGATTTATCGCATGAACCAACCATAGCCGATCATAACCATATCCAGTCATGTCGCGATGGAGGCATTGCCTCCTGTCACGTGACTTTCCCCCATTCATTCTCAATTACCCCCCACCAAACTCACCGCACGCTTTAGTTGGTCTGTTAAAACTCAATGGGTTCAGGGGAGGCGAGAGAGACGCGGACTTCCGCTGTTACTTTACCTGCTGGTGTCGCTGTTGAATAGTTTTACTTTAGAAAAACGAGTGATTTATACGCTTTTTATGTCATATTTTGTAATATTTGCATTGTTTTATTTTGTACTATGATTTTATATTCTCATCCAATTTTTTGAGGCACTGCCTCACTTGCCTCCTGGGAGGAAACGCCCCTGATATATATATACTGTATATTTATATATTTCCCCCCGAATGAAAACGTATAACATTAGTAAGATCATTCTCATTTGTTCCAAGGTAAATTAACGTTCATTACTTTTTCACTTACACTAATGTTATCACTTGTAATTTCTTTCAAATGAGACTTTTCTCTTTCAATGACTGTGAAGAGCATTTGCCTCCATTCTCATTTGCAAACAGTTTTTGCAGTTTGTGGTTTTTAATCACGTAACTTCGTAATTTAAAAATTTCTATTAAAGAAAATTGCAGATAATGTCTTAATTCATTCCAGCCCACATCAAGTATCATATCCAATAAGTTTTTACACCATTTTACTAAAACTCATTCCAAAGCTCATTCCTATGGCATGTTCTCTAATGCTTTTCTCAGTTGCTCTGAAGACTTTAAGATCCTGAGGATGTTTAATCTACAGAAAATTATTTGTGTGTCTGTGAGGAAGAGCTATAGGCGGTTTGTATCTGTACAGCCTTTTAACAAATATGGAAAAATATGAAAGATTAAAGGACCGTCTCATTATCCACGTTAAGTGGAATGAGTTTTACAGCTGCATTAATAAGTGTGTTGGATCATTTCATGGCAGTCTGTATAAAAGCAGGTTTAATGTCAGGATCAGTCTCTTAATTATGTTTGTTATTGTCTGTTTGCCTTCTACCATCTATATCAATAACTTACAAACCTTTTAATCTCTGAAATGGTCTCTAATGTCTGTTGCATTGTGTAAAATGCTGTTGTCCATATCCGCTGGGAGATGTACACGGCTCTGCTCTCTTGATTTATTACGCCTATTGTCTGCGCACTAATTAATGAATACAGCACATATTTGCATACATTATCAGTCACAGAATTATTCATTAGCTCACAGTAATTAGTTGTGCTGGTCTTTGCAGTGTGCAGTGGTACATTTAAATTGGCATGATATTAGTTTGGACTAAAGATGGTGTCAAATGACAGAATATGACAGCAGATACGGCCTGTTTTCCATCTGCTAATTAGAATTATAGATCAGAAAATATGCAAGCATGCACAAAATGTCACGTAGACAATGGGATGATATTTATTGTGTTGCAATGAGCTACTTTTTTTGTTTCCTTTGTATAATGTTTAAACCCACATTTTAGCTGTTAATACATGTGCTCTGAAACACTGAACCTTGTGACTTATGCTGGCAGTGTTAGTTATATCTCATGTATATATTTATTATTTATATGTATTTTATTACGCATATTACATATATACTGTGTATATATATATATATATATATATTAGGGATGCACGCTATTATCGGAACGTTATCAGAATCAGCCGATAAAAGCTTAAAATAAAAATATCGGCATCGGCCCGATATGAAAAATGATGCCGATATGCCTGGCCGATAAGACGAATAGCTCACATGTGCTCAGGCTGTGATAACGATAAGATCACGTCAGCAGTGTGGTCATTCTTGAAACAAACTTTTGCCTGAATGGTGGTTAGTTTCACTGTTTTGGATCGCAGCATTTCATTTGCAGAATGCACGTACAGAATGACACATCCAGTGTGCGACAGAGTCAACAGTAGGTGTGTTTGACTTGAAGCTGCGCTGCGCAGATCGATCGGTAAGCCTCCCCTGGGTTATAATTCCCATCCGGTAAGGTGTTTTATAGGGCTGTGCAATTAATTGCATGCCATTGTCATGCGTATCTTGTCAGTAAAGCCGGTTCCGTGATTAGTAGTAAATCGCCATCACCTGCTTTCAGATGGAGCGACATTTACTACACAGAGCCGTAGTTCACTGACAATTAGGCAATATTGCCTAGAATGTCAGTGAACTACGGTTCTGTGTATTAAATGCCGCTCCATCTGAAAGCAGGTGATGGCGATTTACTACCAATCACGGAACTGGCTTTACTGACGAGATGCGCTTGACAATCGCATGCGATTAATTGCACAGCCCTAGTGTTTTATTTAGGGGACGTTAAATGAACGTAAAATACACAAATAACATTAAGATACTTGTATTTCTGAATAAATAAAGCAGTAATTGATGTCATAAAATCACGAATCTGTTTTGATTTAAAGGTCAGAAGCTATAGCTTACATGCAAAAAAATATTTTAGCGAATCAGCGCGCTTTATTCAGGTCAGGTGACAAGGCTACTTTCACTTTGAAAAGACGTGCTAGCTGAGAGGAGTTTCATCAAAGCTGACTATAAGTGATCGAGGATGGATAATTTCGTCAAACTTGATGAACCTGTGATATCGTCTCGGTTACGTATGGTAACCCTCGTTCCCTGAAGGAGGGAACGGAGACGTCACGTCGGATGACCGACGAATTGGGATCTCGCTTAGAGAGACCAATCTACTTCGAGTGTAAAGCGAAAAGCTGAATATGCGCTGCATCTGCTGCCTACTTATACTCACGCTGTGATCAGCGGCAGCTGGATGCAATAATCGCATGCCAATGTGCATTGGCTCGTTTAGTTTACACTCGAAGTAGATTGGTCTCTCTAAGTGAGATCCCAATTCGTCGGTCATCCGACGTGACGTCGAGAGTGACCGACTGAACGGGAACTTCTTCAGGGCGAAAAAGGAAAATAAAAGCTGAAACGTTTTCACGAACCTTGCAAAAGCAGAGCGTTACAATGGTGAGGGTAAAGCTCCATGTATTGCGTGTAATCACATCCATACAGTTTATGATCACAGCAACAACAACGTTTGTCAGGCATCTACATTGTCATCTGAGGAGATTACAAAGATTAAACGAGTGTTTTTTTTTACTCTAAAACATGAAATGTGGAGTTATCTGCTTTTGCTATAAAACAAACTTTTAATATGTAAAAAAAAAACATACTTTTAATGAACTTTAATTTTGTAAATTACCTGTATTTAAGTTATTATTACTTAATCAAAACAACCCAACTGCAGTTTGATTGATATTACTTGGAATGCGCAATAAAAAAAACTTGATTTCTGAAGTTATCAGTTTTTGCAAACGAACTCCTCATATATATATAAAATATTGCAAAGCAGTTGCTAGAGTATCTTTTGTATGAATTTAGTTTTTTTTTTTTTTATATATTTCTATCTCTGTTGTTTGTTTGTTTTTTTAGAAAATATAAGTGGTTCTTGCCCATGCAAATATTGCAGTGCAGTTGCAAGAGTATTTTTTTTTTAAGTATTCATTTATTTATTTGAATTTATTTTTATTTTTTTTAAATATATTTATATTTGTGTTGCAGATAGATTAATTTTTTATTTTAATATATTTATTTTAAATATTTTTCTTATATTTATATATATGTTATTTAAGAAAATATATGTGGTTCTTGCCCATGCAAATAATGCAACGTAGTTGCTAGAGTATTCTGGGTGTTTTTTAGGTTGTTGCTATAAAAGATAGCAAACATGCCATAGTAAATGTCTTGCCAAAAAAGTGCCCTATTATTAATGTTTTCTTGGTATCTGTTGTCCTCCAGCAGGGCGGCGATAAGAACTCCAGCCACTCCAGCAGTAACACTCTGTCCAGCAACGCCTCCAGCAGTAACAGTGATGAGAAGCACTTCGGCTCCGGGGACCTGATGGATCCAGAGATGCTGGGTCTCACCTACATCAAAGGAGCCTCCACAGACAGCGGCATTGACACCGCGCCCTGTAGCATGACCCCAGGGGTCGCCAGTGCATCCGTGGCCCGCGTAATGCTCCAGGGCCACGGAGCGTCTGATCCGGGACACCCTTGGACACCGGAGCTGACAGAAGAAGGGTCCACGGAGGAGGACCACGGCAGGTTGTACCTTCCCCAGAGCTACGGCACAGCTCTTGCCACCGGACATGCACCCGCGGATGGGAGTATGGGAGACCCGAGCGAGATCTCGTCTCATTCTAGGTGAGCAAAAGAGAGAGAGCTGATGTTTATGAGAATATAAATGGGTCAGATTTGTAGCTTGAGGCTGAATGGATCAAGTGTTTCCTGATTGATTATGTTCGGATAATGTTTTTGCCAGCATTATTGATTAGCCTACTGGCTAGATTTCAGCTGTGGAATGCTAACAACAGAAAATGTGCAATTCTCAGTCTGCTATCAGTTATTGTTTATAAATATGTGCATATTCTTCAGTTACACACAATTAATAAAGTGCTTTGCTTGTCTGGACATTTTACATATCCAGCTGTGTGTATTCACTTGGAGAGAGAGGAATGCTGCTTTTTAATAACAGGTCAGCAGGGTTTTTACATCTAAATTGCTAACACTGACTTTCTGTCCTCACTTTGAAAGCTTGACCAGTTCAGAAGTTCGGGGTCATACAGATAATTTTTGAAAGAAGTCTCTTCTGCTTGCCAAGGCTGCATTTATTTGGTCAAAAGTACAGTAAAAACATTAATATTGTGCAATATTATTACAGTTCCAAAGAACTGTTTTCTATTTGAATATATTGTAAAATATAATTTATTCCTGTGATCAAAGCTGAATTTGCAGCATCATTACTCCAGTCTTCAATGTCACTTGATCCTTCAGAAATCAATCTAATATGCTGATTTGCTGCTCAAGAAACATTTCTGATTATTATCAATGTTGAAAACAGTTGTGCTGCTACAGATTTTTGTGGAAAACGTCAGGATTGCTTGATGAATAGAAAGTTCAAAAGAACAGCATTTATTTGAAATAGAAATCTTTTGTTATAAATGTCTTTAATGTCATTTGCGAATGTAATGCGTCCTTGCTGAATAAAATTATTAATTTCTTTAACAAAAAAAATCTTACTGACCCCAAATGTTTGAATGGTAGTGTGTATTTGAAGCACTCGGTTGGTGCAGCTGAAAAATTATTTCCAGTGATTCCAGGCCAATTAAGCTTGTTTCCAATTGCAGTCTCTTTTTTGCATCATGGAAAAGAAAGTTATATTGTCTTGATTTGCATTGAAGACATTATTTGCATTGTACTGAGTGATCATAAAAGTTGTGCAACTGAGATAACATGGGATAATAGAAAATGTTTTTAAAGGGAAAAATAGATGGCTTTGTGTATAGCACTTAAATGTAGACATATAGGGTTATTTTCCATCCATACAGTGAAACAGTGCTTTGTTTTGCACTGCAGAGCAATTCAGGAAAACCATTAGCAAAATTGTCAAATTACCTTCTATTATGTTAAGAGTGTTCTCATGTTCTTCAGAACCAACTGTCTTCAAATGCATGGATAAGTGAGGTTTCAAAAGTACATAACTTTAAGGAGTATTATTAGAGCTTCTTATGTTGACTAAACCCTTGTGAGTATAGACTATTATATAAAAGGCAGAAAAATGGTAAGAAGTCTCTTAGAGATGGACGGAGAGAATGGCAGCTGTCATGCTGTTGTAGAAAGGTCAGGGTCCTGCTCATAGGCATGTTGTCAGTTCTGATGTGTGTGTTTTTGTGTGCATGTTTGTCTTGTGAATGTATTTCAAAAGTTGCCCGAACAGAGCGCTGTCAATGCAGAATTCACCCGCTGTCTCCTAAACGGAAGGCCAAGGGATCATTCCTAGAGACCGGCTGCATTGTATCGCTATTGATCTAATCACTTTAAAGGTGTTTTCAGACCTGTACATCATTTGCTTTGTTCCAAAACAGGGACTTAAATTGTTACAATATTGCATTCTCTTCTTGGGTCCATTCACTTTCACAAGGCAACATTTTAAAGCATACCCAAATGTGTTACAAATCACATGTGAGTAAAACTGCCCTCTCTTTGCAGAGTACACACCTTGATATTCACTTGCTGTGCATTTGGGTGGTTTTTTGCCTACTTGTTGTGCATTAAAATTATGTAACGCACACCTAGCCATGGATTATCCTCTACATCAGTCAGTGGTTCCCAACCTCGTTACTGGAGTACCCTCATTACTGCACGTTTTGCATGTCTCCTTAATCAAACACACCTGATTCAACTCATCAGCTCATTAGTAGAGACTCCCAAGACCTGAAATGGGTGTGTTGGTCAAAGGAGATATGCACAGTGTGCAGTGTTGGTACTCCAGGGGCCCGTTTCAGAAAGGAGGTTAAGTGAAAACTCTGAGCATGTTAACCCTTAAATGAGGACTATATAAGAAAAATATATAAGATATTTAGTCTTATTTCCTGGGGGGATCTAAATTAAGTGCATTTTACTTAAGTAAAATTATCTGCCAGTGTGGTAATAAAAATAATCTTAATGCAAATGGAAAACAAGATTATTCGGAGTGTCTATTACTAAGTGCAAATTTACAGTAGCTCCGCTCTCCAATGTGACACAAGGTTAAATACGACGCGCATGATTAACGACTTCAGTGGTGTAGGCAGTAAAGCGTTGGGAGCGGAAAACTAGCTTGTGACGTGATTGATCGGGTTCGAGTCTGGCTTTTGCCGAGCTCGCTCTTCTCACTTTTCCAATCACATATCATATTAGAATTTATTTTCAATAAAAATGAAGAAAATGTTCTAAAAGTGTAAGTAAAGTGCCCAGCGATCGTCTTTTTGTCGGGTACTGTTGCCATGGTGAATCGTAATATCGAAGCTCCATTGATCATGGCTTTTCATAGTCGTGGTGCACGTGCTAAACTCAGAGTCAACCTACTCCGAGTCGATTGAACTAACTCAATTCAGCTGTTCTGAACCCGAAAACTCTTTTTTTCCCCATCTCAGAGTAAGTCAACTAAGAGTTCCAGTTTTAACTCCGAGTTGGTTGAACCTCCTTATTGAAATGGGCCCCAGGAGCGTGGTTGGGAATCACTGCCTTAAATATATGAATATATATTTAAGCCTTTTATATATATAAATAAATGATCAGTTAGAGCGGAAATCAAGGCTTTGTTGGGACAGCATTCTTGCAATGTACCTGATTCAACTGAGAAGAGCAATTGACCCTTCGCCCGGAAGAGATGACATGCGATCTGACCAGTCATAACGCAGAATCTGCCTTTTTTCTGACAAACAAACCAGACAGGAGAGTAGATTAATTGGTGTGTATTGTCATCTTTCCGCTGTTGAAACAAGATACCTTCTAATGTTCAGTCATGTTTATTTTGTGCTATAGAAAAGAGGAAGAGACGATCGGTTCATGTGCCTCTTGAACTGAGGCGCTACAGCGATCTGTCACCACACATTTAAGAGCCACAAAACGGTATTTATTGTTCCAATTTTTTTTAAAAAGACAAAATTTGAAAGCTGAGACTTTGTATCATACCAAATGTTATGTGCTCTGTCTTGTCTGACGGCACGTTGTCAGTGTCCTCTTTGCTCCGCGATGTATTTTTCACTACGTGAGGACATGATGTGTGGCGTGAGAGCGCCATGGCCAAAGTGGGCTGGTCTTTGCGACGGGTCAGTTACACTTTTAATATAAAGCAAGCATGTACAAATCTGTTCCTGGAGGGCCAATGTCCTGCCGAGGTTAGCTCCAACCAGATCCAACGCATTTGCCTGGAAGTTTCTTGTGAGTCTGAATTTTTCCTTGATTAGCTGGTTCAGGTGTATTTAATTAGGGTTGGAGCTTAACTTTGCAGGTCAGTGGTCCTCCAAGAACTGGGGCCGGATTCACGAGACATTCTTAAGAAAAAATGTCTTCTTAACTGCCATTTTCTTCTTATTTTTTTAACCTAAGAAACAAGTTAAGAATATTTTGTATTCCCAAAGATTGTTCTCAAGACAAAACTTAAAAAGAATTAAATTCTTGAAAAGAATCTTCTTAAAATTCATTGTAAATAACTTCTTAAAGTTAGGATAGCCCCAGACTTGTCTTAAATCCATAATAATGATTTAATGAATTTATTGGGTTATTTCAAATTAATTGTTATATTTGAACATTACAACAACAATAGCTACATATAATAGGCTACACAATAGGACTATTAATAGGGATGTGCACAAGTTTTCTGAAGTGACAGCGATGACTGATAATGTAAACAATGACTGGTCATGATTATGTGTAGCGCGACTTTTTGCTGAATTCAAAATTCAGTAACAACTTTTCAAAAATGTGTCCGATAGGGAGCTCGTTTTTAATTTTAGCCTATAAATACGACCCGATACTCAAAAAGTGTACTTAAGTACAATATTCAAGTAAATGTACTTAGTTACTGTCCGCCTCTGAATACGACATAATCTTTGGCAATATTCAGCGTATATGAATGTGCCCATACACAGGACACGTTTTCTGTAGCAGCGCGGACATCAGAAACTGTTCACTTGGAAGAGAGCACAAAATCACAGCACAAAAATGAATGAAACAGATCGCTGCAGCTTGAGACAGGCTCTTTAAAAGCAACTGTTCAAAAACACCGCATTAAAAATGCGAAGCCGAGCGCCAGTTAAGCTGGTCGCGATGGAAATAGTGTGCACGTTTATTAGGATTATTACAGTAATCTGCAGGAAGCGCAAAAAGACAATCCTTGAAGTAAGTTTATCAGTGCATCTTTAGCCATGTATTCAGAAAGACTTCTTAAGAACATATTTGAGAACTTAAGAAATTTTCAAGAATTGCACTTAAGAACATTCTTACGAACATCTTGGAATTTATCTTAAGAAGATTTTCGTGAATCCAGCCCCTGGTTTGGACACCTCTAGCATAAACAAACTAAACTAAGGAAAAAAGCACCAGATTCCAAAAACTAAAGCACCATATGAGCCAGGTGTAAAAACGCCATAAACATGCCACTGGGCACCATTTGTAAAGTTATTTCCCTTCTTTGTCTAACCACTGGTGCTTAAATTAAGCAGTACAGGAATTCATTTAATGTTGCTTTGATGGTTGGGTCTCACATTCCTCTATCCCATGTGCACTGGCCAGTGGCTCCCACCACTCCAGCAGCTCCTTACCCCACAGCTTCAAGCACACGTCCTCTCCAGAAACTTCCAGTGCCCAGGCAGTCCCCC